TAAAATTATTAAATTAACACACACAAAAATATATTTATTTCTAATAAATTAAAGAATCTAAACAATTAAATATTAATCTTTTCTTTTATTTAAAAAATATTGAAGAAAAAATATTTTTATTATCATTCTGATAAGGAAATTTATTTGATAAAAATTATTTTAAAGAAATAAATGAGGAGAGATTATTCAAAGTATTTTTGCAAAAAGTCGCCAAAAATAGGGAAAGGAATTATTTTTAAAAAATTAAGGGCGAGACTAAAAAATTAATTTATTTTAAATTAAAAAAAATAAAATTATCAAAATAACTTTTAGTCTTTTTATTAATTATTTCTTATGGTTTTTTGTTTAATATGAGTAATTTATTTATGTTTCTCATGACCGTTAATAGGTTATAAATAAAAGTTAATAAAAATAATAAATTAATTGAATAATTGATAAAAATAAATAATAAAGTGTTATTTTTGGTATTTTATTTCTTTCGAATTTAGACTAAAAGAAACGTACTAAAAAGAAATAAGTTGAGATATTTGGATGAAATATAGTATAGAGATTAAAATTAATGAAAATATTATAATTATTTGAAGAAAAACACAAAAAAATTTGTGTTAATAAAATAAATTATTTAATATAATTTTAAATTATAGATAATTAAAAAATAAATCAAAATTAAATTAAATAAAAACTGAATAGTTTAAAAATGTTTTAAATTATTTATTACAACAAAAAAGTTAAGACAAAATTGGGTAAATTAAAATTAAATAAGAAAAATGGGAAAAATAAGTTTTTAATTAAAAATTTGATCATTGAAATAATTACTTTTATAAAATAAATTGACCAATAATTTGAACAAAAAAATTTTTTTTAACGTTGCTTTAAATTACGGGCAATAATTTAAAAACACAAATTTAATTAAAAGGGCCAAAATTATTTTTTAAAAATTACCTAAATATTCTATATTTTTAACAATAAATTATATATAAAAGATTTGCAACTTTTTATAACAAATTAATTAAATCAATTGTTTTTCTTCTTTTTAAAGTAAACTTTTCCTCTCTCCCCTTCCCTCTCCCACGCATTAACAATTTTTATTTAATTATTTTTTTATTTTCTCTTTACTCAAAACCGGTTATTTAAATAAATTTATTTTTTAATTTAAAAATAAAAATAAATTAAAAAACACAAAAACAAGAAAAATAAAAATTAATTTAAAGGTGTATTTACGTGGTCGGTCTTCTTGTCTTTTTTTTATTAAATTTATTCGCTCATCAAATTAAATTTTGTAAAATGAAAGGACAAATTTATTTTAAACTTTTTTTAATCATCCATTAAAATTAAAATATTTTTTAAATGGTTGCCTAAAAATATTTTTTTTTATTTTAAATTAAAAGTTTAAATTGAAAAAGATGAACGGAAGAGAGGAGTTTTTAATTAAAAATAAATCGAAAAGAGAGAAGAAATTAAGAAAATATTTAATTTAATTTAATAATTTGATAATAAAAAAGAGAGAAATTGGTAATAATAATTATATTTAAAATATTTTTTATTGTAATAATTAAAAGGAGTTTTTGTTTAAAAAAAGAGACAGATGAAAATTATTTTAATTAAAATAAATTTTTTATAAAAAATTTTTAATTAAAAATTAAATAATTTAAAAAATAAATTTAATTGGTAAATATTAAATAAATTAATTAAAAATTGTTTGGCAGATGATTTTAAAAACAAATAAACAAAAATTTTATATAAAAATTGTACAGGTGGAATATTTTCAATTTAACAAAAAAAAAAGTTAAATTTTTAATTAGCTAACATTTTAAAGAAATATTAAAATTTTTAAGAGTAATTTAAAAAAAATATTTATTTAAATTTTAAATTAAATAAAAGTATTTATTATTAAATAATATATGTATTCTTATAAAATTAAACCTCCGTTAAACGTAGATCCTTGGGGATAAAAATATGTAAAACAGAGGTATTTAATTAAAAAAAGATTTCTTAATTATTCAATAAGAAGTCTTTCTTAAATTGTATTAATTTTTGTAATTAATTGCACAAAATTTGTTTTAAATCAAAGATCTAGAAATACATTAGCTTATAAATATTTGTTGAAACAATTGATAATTACCATATCTTGTTAATTACCTCATCATCGATGGATTAAAGAAATACTCAGGGTATTTATTCGATTATTCAAACATGACTGACTGAGGTATTTTAAATTAGAGGAATTGAATAAATGTAAAACCGAGGTTATGCAGATTGTTCATATAATTTAGAGAGTAAAAGTAAAAATAAATAAATATTAATTTAAAAAATAAATTAAAAAATTTATTTATTAAGCAACTGGCAAAATAAAGTAACAAATTGACAGCTTATATCTGCCTCAAAATTAAAAAAAGGAGGAAAACACGGAAATGTAGATATTACGCAAGTAACAGGAAATTACCAAAATAATATAAAATTTTTAAAAATATTTTGCAAAGCTCTCAGACTTAATAATTATTTTTTTAATTTATAGAGGATTAAAAATATTAAAATAAAAATTAAATACAAATAAATATTTTTTTAATTTTAAATTTAAAAAAACGGATTTAAATAAAAAAAAATATTTAAAATGATTACTAGGTATATTTATGTTTTTGAAAAAGAAGATTAGTAATTTAGGGATTAAAATAATTTTTGTATTTACTATTAAATACTTGTTTTTTTTGTTAAAGTATTTGCGTAATAAAGAGAAATTTAAAAAGAAATTTAAAAATAATTAAATTGTTTCATTGTTTAAACAATAAATACAAATATATATTTAATAAATTATTTTAAAAAAATAAAAAAATGTTGATATTTCTTTTGTTTAAAATTTAATGATTTATTTATTATTTGATAAATTATTTTAGATAAAAGATAAATTTTATTTTTGAAAAACAATATCTATTTTAAAAAAAATATGTAGAAACTAAAATATGTAGGTATATTATATAATGAAACATTAAACTGTGGTTATAAATCGAAGGTAGATTTTTTGTGAAGACGTAAAAATTAAATTTCAGTTTAGAAAGCGATATGTATATTGCCGTAGTTTACATTTTATTCAACAAAATTTTTTAGATAAAAATTTGTGAAACAAAATTAGCGTCAGAATTTTTCTTATTTTTATAAAGAAAATATACATAAAGAAATAAAAAGTTCAATTTCTCTTACAAAAATTGTCACAAAAATAATTGTCTAGTTTATTTTTTAAAATAACAACAAAATATCAAATAAATTTAATTATGGCCAAAAGTTAGAAAAATATATAAATTTAAAATAAAGTTGACTGCCAGAGAAAATTAAAAAGGAAAAAAATGTTTTTTAAAAAAGTTGTGAAAATGTGACTTGACTTTTGATTAACTTTTGACATTATTTAAAAATTATTTTTATAAAAAAGAATATCAAATTAGCAAGTAAATTCAACACCCCTTTCCCACAAAAATGGAAATGGACCCGGCCGATTAAAGATTAAAAAACTTCCTGTTTTATCTTCCTTTTTTCATAAAATATTGGGGAAATTTAATATGAAAAGAGAAAGAAGAATATTTATAACAGCCAATTTCAGAAAATAAATATTCTCCGGAAGCATAAATTTTTTGATTAAAATAAATTAAATTATAATGTGATGATGCACAGACTCAAATGACTTTAATTTTAATTTAAATAAATAAATGACATTTTATCCCATTTTATGTTCCTATTTAAGAAAATTCTCTCTCCCCAAAATTGTTCATTCCGTTCATTCTATTAAGTTTGTTCTTTGAGTGTTCCCTTCCCCTTTTTATTTATTCGTATAATTTATTTGTGGAAAATTGTATTGCCCCTTTAATTTAAATAAATATTGCTTCGTATTTGGACTTGAATTGATTTAAAGAAGAGAGTTAGTTAAAAGAAGTTATAAGAGAAAACTATTTATTTCTCACGTGGCGCTCCTGTGGAAGAAAAATTTTCCTAAATTTTTCAAAGGTCTCGAGATCGACTTTGAATTTTTTATTTGAAGGCTCTAGGCGAGCAACAACAAATTTTTTTATTTAATTGAATTTAAAGCTCTAGGCGAGCATATACAGCTCTAGGCGAGCTTCGACTCAAAAAAAATTTTTTAATTTTAGAAAGTTTTGTGAAAAACTTTAATTTATTTTCCTCATCAAAAACCCTAGGCGGGTGGAAAATCGACTTTTTTTCAAAAATCTGCAAAAGACCCTAGGTGGGTATAAAAAGAAACAAACAAGAAAGAGAAAATTTTTATTCTTTTGACCTTGGCAGGCAATCGATTCAATTGCTGCAAACAAATTGACTCAACAAAAAGACCCTAGGCGGGCACATTTTTGAAAATTATTTGAATTGATTTTGTTTTGTAACTCATCAAAGACTCTAGGAATGGACGATATCGTTGATGTGCAAAGTGAAAGGGGAGAAAATTTTACGAGAACAAACGAGACACAAACTTCGCCAGCACAGAACGTTTGTTTTCCTTACCAAATTCTGAACATGCCTGTTATGACACAGCAGTTCCCAAATCAGCAAATGTTTACGCAATTTCCTAATTGTCAAGTTCCTATGTTAATGCCCATGTATCCCCCACAGTTCATGCAGTATTCGCAAATTCCAACGAATAACCCGCAAAATTTTCCACCTCAAATGAACACTGCTCACCAAGCTCAGCCTCAACAGAATTTCCAACAGTCTGTTACACAAGTGGCGCAGCCACCAATCAATAATGAAGCTAACCAAAGACCCACAACTGATTTTGCTGGCTTCATGCACAGTTTTGATAGAATGTCTCTGTCCTGGGCATTAGACAAAATTCCAGATTTGAAAGGTCCTGAGGGTATGGATCAAATTAAGACATTCTTCAAAAAATTTGATTCTGCAACTGAAGGGATATCAGATGTTGTGCGATTAAAAGCTTTGGAATCTAAAATCAGCGGAAGAGCGGAACGAGCTTTTAATACCGCTTTAGGAAATTCTCCGTTTATTTACTCATCAGTTCGACGCGAAATGCTTCGTATTCTCGAAACAACAGACACAAAAGAAATCTGTGCTTTCGACGAACTTATGTCTGGAGTTAAGAGACGAGAGAATGAAAATATTGATTCACTCGCCAACAGAATTGCATCTTTAGTAAAACGAGCTTACCCCGGGATGACAAATAATTTATTAGATGAGTACTCAATAAAGCATTTGATAAGAAGTATCGGTGACTCAAACCTTGCACTTAATCTTGAAATAGCTAGACAAGACGGAATGAGTTTTGACAGTTTCGTGTCTCTGGCAGCTAGAGCGGAATCGACACAGAAAGCAACTCGTCATATTAACTTCCAGTCTAAATCACCTGTCCAGCAATTCTCACAACGAAACAATAACTTTGCCCCTAGAAACGAAATTACCTGCTTTAACTGTGGAAAGCTAGGACATCTCTCACGTGATTGCTTCGCTAATCGAAATAATCAATATATGTCGAAAGACAACGTGGCAGATGCTACGGAAGCTAATAGAACACTTCTGAATACCAAAAATAATATTAATGAGCTATCTAGAAATACAGCAGTCTGGAAAGGAAGTGGTCAAAGCAAAGCACTCCCGCCGTCAAGCAATCAACTCAAAAATGGTTTCATAACTATCCATGACGAAATTCCAGAAAATCACGTCAACTCTTGTGGGATAAACATTCAGGAAATTAAAGAAGAGCTTAAGAAAATTCCTGAACAAGAAGCTAAAGCAGAAATAATAAAGAACTCCATAGGCCCTGTAATGTCAATCAAAGTTAATGTAAAAGGTATACCTGCAAAAGGAATGCTAGATGGAGGAGCACAAATTTCGTTAATAAGCTCAAGTTTTCTTTTGAAACTGCTTAGAGACAAGGGAATTGAATTAAAGAACATCGGATTTTCGAGAGCAAAAACCAAGATTTCTGATGTTAACGGACAAAAGCTTGAATGCCATGGAATAGTTGAGTTGGAAATAAAGCGTGAAAACCAAGAAGAGATCAAAACTTGTTTTCACATAACTGACGCTCCATTTGGCTACGATTTACTTTTCGGCACAAATTCGCTAGGAAAACTTGGATTTAAATTAGTAGACGTTTCTAATAATGATTTAATTGATTTTGGAAGCGAAGGTTTAGACCAAAACAACGATGCAGAAAGAGTCATTTATAGAACACGGATCCAAACATTAAGTATTGAATTTGATGATGTAGGATCCGTTGGAAAAGAACTCAACGTCCTTGGAAATAAGGAGAAGAAATTTGAAGAAAATCTAAAAGAAGATGAAAAGAAAGTTGAATTTGAAGGAAAAAGAAGTGTTTGTGGAAAAGAATTGGCTAAGGCTGCCAAGAAAAATTGTCGAATATTGAACGGCAACTTTCTTCGAATTAATAAGGAGCAAAAACGAAAATTCGATAGGAAAAGATCAATTTTAATTGGAAATCTCCCATATAAAACTGTAGACGAATCAGTTAGGACTCACTTTTCAAAATGCGGAAAAATTACTGGAGTTCGTTTACTTCGAAATAAACAAACGGGACTTTGCAAAGGAGTTGGTTATATTGAATTTATTGACCCGACTTCAATTAAAAGTGCGTTTGAACTAAATGAATTGTCTTTCGAGGGAAGAAAATTGAGAATTTCCAGAATTTATGAAAAGAAAAAGCTTTCGAAGATGAGAGACAAAAATGAAAAGTTAAAGCTGAAACCGCCTAATTCGAAAAGAGGAAATGAAAAATGTTTGAACCGAAGAGGAGAATTTAAAGAGAAAAAGGTTCTTGAAACAATTCCGAGGACGGAATTATCTAAATACGAGGAGGGGAGAGGTGATGCGGTTGAGAGCCGGTTGATAGACAAACGTTCGAAAAGGAACGAAATTGAAATATTGAAGGCAACCCAAATGCCAATTGTTGAACTAGGCGTTCAGAACGTCAAATCGAAAAGAGTTGTTCCGAGAAATGAAGTAAGCGGAAGGAACTCAATGAGAAATGATTCAAGGAGGTGCGGTCTAGGCGACCAAACTCCTAGAAATCGTTGGAGTGACAATGAAAATTGGAGGGAGCGCGATCTAGGCGATCAAACTCCTATTAGAAGCCGTTGGCAAGGAAATGAAAATCGAAGGGGACGAGGTCTAGACGACCGAACCCCTAGACGTTCAGTCTTCGAGAGAATCAGACGTTATGATAGAAGCCGTTCTCGAGACAGTTTGTGAACCACCCCTTTCGCAGCCGAATACTAAGACGAGGGACTCGTCTTTTTAGAAGGTGGAGATGTGATGATGCACAGACTCAAATGACTTTAATTTTAATTTAAATAAATAAATGACATTTTATCCCATTTTATGTTCCTATTTAAGAAAATTCTCTCTCCCCAAAATTGTTCATTCCGTTCATTCTATTAAGTTTGTTCTTTGAGTGTTCCCTTCCCCTTTTTATTTATTCGTATAATTTATTTGTGGAAAATTGTATTGCCCCTTTAATTTAAATAAATATTGCTTCGTATTTGGACTTGAATTGATTTAAAGAAGAGTAAAATAAAAAGAAGTATAAAGAGAAAACCTTTAAATTTCTTACGATAATTTTTGATTGAAAGTTAATGAATCAAAGTAAAATTTTAATCTCATTAAATGCTAGGGTATCATAATAAATTTCAATTGGTTCTCACAATTCCAAAAAAATCTTGCTTATTTTTACAAAAAAGTCTAATATTTCCCTATTTAAATATTTAAATCAGAATTTGTAAATTTTATAAAATAAAAAAACAATTTGCAAAAAAGAAGGGACAAAAGAATAAATTTAATTGTAAATTTTTTAGAATTATTTGAATAAATTAAAAAGGAGGAAAAAAAACCACAAAAAATAAATTAAACAAAAAAAGAATTGTAAATGCTCGATAGTATAATTCAAAATTTTAAATCAAAAAAGAATGTTTTAGTTTTGATAAAAAAATTTTTTGAAATTTGAGAAAAAAACAATTTCGATAATTCCAAAAATTTATTAATTTTTCTATTGTTGTATTATCAAATTAAAATTAAATTTATTAAATTAAAATTAATAATAAAATAAAAATAATAATAAAATATTTATTTCCTTGTTTATTAATAAACAAAATATTAAACTTTGAATTCATTAAATAGGAAAAAAATTTATTTAAACAAAAAACGTTGACATTTTAGTGTAAAAAAGATAAGAAATTAGCAATTTATTTTTTAAAGTTCCGGTATGTGATGAATACTTTTTATGAATAAAATTTAAAAAAAAAAATTAAAAAAAGTTTAACTAACGAAAAAATAAATTTAATTATTTTTTTAAGGAATTTAAATTCTACAAATATAAATTGATTAGGCAGTTTTCCAATTTAAATATAAAATTCAATTTTATTTAGGTTTGATTAAATAGATCAGGGGTAATAAAAAAATAAAAATATTATTTTAAATAAATACTTCCACAAAATAATTGTTATTATGTCTCTGTATGTAAATAAATATTAATAATAAAAACAAAATTTTATCAAAAATAATTTAAAAAGTGTAAAATGATTTAAAAATATTATTTATCTAAAATAATTTTTATGTAAATAATTTAAAGAAGAACTTTAAAGGCAAAAATTAAGGAAAAGATTTGCATTAAAAATATTTATTAATTTAAATAAAAAATAGAACAACTTTAGTTAATAACTATTTAAAAATAATACAAAATTAATTTAATAAATGAAATCTTAAAATTAGGCTATTTTTTAAATAAAATTTATGTAAATACTTCAGCCAAAATAAAATATAATTTTATTTAACTAAAATATTTTGTGTTATGGAAAGATCTTAAATGACGAGGAATCAAGAAGGGAAAACATAAAATCATAAATTAATAAAAAAAATACGTATAAATAAAGAATTATTTATTTGGTTATTTAATATGTATGAAGCGAAAATAAACATATTTAGTTTATTTTGATAAATTTAGGAAAATAAAAATATAAATATATGATTAGGAAGAAAATATACAAGAAGTATTTATTTGCACTTTTGATTATAAAAAGATTCAATCAAAAATATTTAAAAATATTTTAGGTAAATATTTAAAGATATAAATAATAAATTTAAAAATTGGAGAAAAATAAAAATAATTAAAATTATTACTAAATATTAATTAATTTTATATAAAATTATTTTAGTCTGTAAATGGAAGAAAAAAACAATTTCTTGCATTTTTGATCAATCAATCAAAAATTAATTATTTATTTATTTATTACTATTTCACACTGAATTAATCGCAAAATAAAATAATTCCAGTAAATAATAACGTCACTTAATAATTTTTTAGTTATTTTAATATAAAAAATTCCAACCGACAAATTTAAAAAAAAAAATAAAAAATAAATTGTTTGGTGCAATTAATAATTAAGGAATTTAAATTAAAAAATAAATAATTTTGTAAAATAATTAATTAAAAACTAAAGAAAAATAATAAGGAGAATATTAAAGTATTATAAAATTAAAAAAACAAAAACTAGTATCTTGTAAATAAATTAATATAAATAATTATCTGTCATTATTGGAATTTAAAAATATGTAAATTGTAGGTAATTTGTAGGAATTAAATAATTCATAAAAATTTGAATTTTTTCCTCAAAGAAGAAATCTTTGGCTAAGATTTATAAGTATGAACAGTTCAACTCAACTGAAATATACCCTGTCCTATTAGAGAGATCGCCAATATTTTTTAAATAAAAAACAATAAAAAATGATTATAATTACTTATTTTTCTGTTAAAAAATTAATTTAGACTTTAAACAGAATATACTACCAAAAATAGTTATGTTTAACCAAAAAACTTTGTTATACGAAAACAAGTTTACAATTTTTCCACTTCAATAAATTTAACAAAAACAATTATATTTTAAATTTAAATATTTGGGTACATTTAGTTTATTTTTTTGTCAATTTTTAAGAATAAATTATCTTTTCTTACGTAAGTAGAAATAAAGTAATAATTAAATAAGTGGAGAGGGGGCAGAAAAAAATTCTAAAAAATATTAAAACATATAATTAATTAATTATTAATTTAATATTCGAAAAGTGTTTATTAACTAAAAATGTAATAAATTTAGAAAAAAAAGAAAAAAATTTTTTAGTCAAATGACTAATTAAAAGTTAATAAATTAAAGATTAAATTGAAGAAAAATTAGGAAACCAAATTTTTGGAATTTTTGAAAATTCTGAAAAAATAAAAGGAAATTTTTTAAAGTTCAATTTAGATGTATAATTTAACAAAAAAATAATATTTATAAAATTATTTTTTAATAAAATAAATTCTAAAAAGTAAATAAAAAGTGCAGAAATGTGAGTACATATTGAGTTAGTGGATTTATATATAAACTAAAATAAATAAAAATTTTTTTTTTATTTTTTTAGTTTGAGGCTAGACAATGAAGTAAATATTATAATATAAATTCAATGTTTGCTTTGTTTAGAGCTGTCGGGTAAAAAAAATTTTTTTGTGAAGTAAAAATGAGAGGAATGAGTGTGTTTATTTTTAAACAGATAAGTAAACAAAATTTCAAAGTTTACTAAGCAAACAATAAAAATTTTTGAAAAATTTTTTTTATTATTCTATTTACATTTCTTTTTTAAATTATATTATAATAAAAAATAAAAAAAGACGGAATTAAATTTAAAAATAAAATGAAAATTTTTTTATATTCTGACAGATTTTTCTTTAAAATAAGATG